TAATGCAGAATTTTATGTTGGCTCAGCATCCATATAGTGTCTGAGTACATTTTAACTCTTCCTGCAGAAAAGATTCTTAAAACTGACAGATTACATGAAAAGGGGCATTGCTCAACTTCTATTTTGCCACTGCCTTTTCTGTCAGGCAAGAATGATTAGAATGACTGGAGAGAATAGATATTGATAAATACTCATCTATCAACTTTTAGATCTATGCTATTGATATACAACATATCAATAAATACTGATCTCAGAGAAGTGAAACACTAGCTGATTGAGGACCCTTCAAAATATTTCTGTGTTTAGATCTCTGATAAACACAATTGGTGGGTACGGGTAGAACTCTGACATGAAGTATACAAGTATGAATGACTCTGAAGTATCTGTGTGAATGCCTGGGATACTCAGCTTTCCATCACTGTGAGAAAATGCCTGAGATAAACAACTTAAAAGGAGATGAAACTTCGTTTGGCTGGCTTACATTTTCAGAACTTTCACACCCTGGTTGCTTGGCCCTGTGGTGAGGTACCACATCATGGCAGGGAGCAGTTGGTAGAGCTAAGCTGTTTACCTCATAGGGACCAGAAAGCAAAATTTAAAAAGATAGATGGAAGAAGGGGATAGAGTCCCAATGTCCTCTTCAAGGTCATGACCCCAGAAACCTAACTTCCATCCCAGAAACTTTACCTCCTAAAATGTCCACTATCTCCCAATAGTGCCACAGATTGGTGACCAAGCTCTCAACTCACGGCCTTTGGTAGACATTTACAGTCCAAACTAAAACAATGCTCATTTACACTTAGTTTATCAACACATTTATTAAACATCTACTACTTGCCAGATACCTATGATAAAAGGATGAAAAAGACAAGAATTATATTCTCAAATAAATGACATTTTAAGGATGCCTTAAGATAATAAAAAGAAAATAAGATAACTTGAGATTATAGGCTAAAAGAAGAAGAATGCTCTGAAGGAAATAAGGTGTTATGTGCTGCTAATCTACGTATTAAATATTTCATTCAGATCACAATGCCATATACTCAGTTCAAGTCTGACAACCTAGAATATGTCCAAAAAGACAGATCTCAATGGTAGAGTCTGGGAACCTTGACACTGAAAAACTCTAAAAGAAACGATGATACATGGGACATGGGTAATGTGACCCTTGTCTTTAAATCCTTCAGCGATTGACATGTGGAAAAGAGGTTACTAGACATATATTTGTGTGCATTCAGAATAGATTGACAGGTCCTGCAATGAAGAAAATATCTGGTCCACATTTGAGGAGGTTCTAAAAATTCGTACTATCTGAAAATGGGCTCTCCTTGGGGTATAGTGACCAGTCTATCACTGGATGAGAGGAGAGTTTCCTCTCAAAGGACAGAGCTACTCATTGGGAGTGTTGTAATGGACATGTTTGTAACCAGCAAAACCAAATGCATAGCTACACTTTACTTTACTTCCCAAGTAAAGGAGAAAAAAGTTTGACTCAGATCTTAGCGCACTGGAGTAGCAAGGGTACTTTGAAATGGATTTGAAAGAACTAGAGATCACAGATTGTTCTGTATAAGAAAGGGAAAATAATTTGTTTGGGGTTCTTATTGGGTAAGATCTAGACGAAATGAAAGGGGAAGAAATAAAGTTAAGGAGGAGAGGGAAGTTGGAGAGAAATGGGATTTCCTGAATCTTGAGTTGAAGAAATAGTCTGTAATTGCTTAAAGAAGAATCAAGTACAGATAGAGCTGAATTCTGGGAGTGGTGTGAGTTTGGAAGTGTGTGCGAGTGTGTGTGTATGTGTGTGTGTGTGTGTGTGTGTGTGTGTGTGTGTGTGTACATAAACAAGCTGTTATGTAGACACATACATGTGGATATGTGCCTAAATTAGGACATGGCACTGAGTTCCATATTTCAATTGATGTAGTCAGCCTGATGCAACTATGTTTCATTGAACAAATAGAAATGAGGAGTCCAGAAGGTTCTAGAAAACCCATGTCTGTAGGTTTTTAGAAATAATAAATAATAAATTGTAACATGTTATCAACTCAGAGATGATATTAATTGCAAGATGTATCAATATTTTATAATCATGTTGAAAGAAATGCTGCCAATTAAACTATAGGTTGAATCATAATATGAATCCTGCTTTCAGAGAACATTAAAATGTGAAAAAAATGTGCATCTTAGAATTTGTGATACACCATACTATTTCTTTTGTGCCATGCTGGGATAACACATATTAGGTATAGTTGTCACTTTTTGAGGCTAATTGTGATAAATAGGGAGTTTTTCAGAGAACACTGGTATCTGGATAGAATCAAAAACAAAGTGGAACAAAAGAATATAGATAAAACAAGAAAATGGAGGATGAGAGGGTGATAAGGACCATATATACCAGAAAGATCATTTTGATACTATATACCTAAGGGTTATATACCAGAAAATGTCAGAAACCTTAAGGGCCTAAATATTCTAAAATCCACATAATAGAGATTTAATAGCCCCAGGATACATTGAGAAAAAGCATCCCAAAAGAAAAAAATATGGAATCTTGTTCTTTAGGATATATCTAAAAGGATCAATATTCATAAATAAACTCAATATTAACATATTTGGAAATTTTTATTCTGGGAACACCAAATTTGCAAAATTGAATGCAAAGGTTAAATATGTAACTTTGTTCAAGTAACGTCTTACCCAAAGATCCAGGGTATATAACCGTGTAAAGTGAGCTGCTCTGGTTTGAGGAGAGGGGGTTATAATGAAAGCAGCCTGAAGATCTGCCCACCTCTGCCTTCACACTGCCCCTAACCAAGCCCTGAGACCTTTCCAGACGTGGTTAAATTCTGCAAATCAAACTTTGGAATTAGGTCACGTCTAATGTTCCTTGCATTGATACACTGAGATTGCTTCCTATTGATTCTCAAGAGCCACTTTTATGGTGAAATAAGACTAACCAAACTTTCCTATGTATATGTACGACTATATTACAGTGAATCTCACTTTTATATGTATTAACAAGGCACTGATTTTTAAAAATGTAAATAAATAGAAGAAAGATCAGTAGAGGAAAGGAAACAGGGTGAGGGAGGAAGGTGGAGAAAGAGGAAATACCGAGAACTGAATTGGAGTAAATTATATTCCATGCTTGTATAATCATGTCAAAATAAACCCTAATATTAAGTATAACTAAATTAAACTAATGAAAAAAGAACAGCAGATCATTTAAAAAGTGAACTTTCTATACATTGAATAAAAATAAAACATTAAGAATGACAAGAATTACAAAGCTGACTACTCAAATGAACAGGTCTTTCTGACTAATGATTTAAATCACCAGTGCATAAATCTATTTTTATGAATCCAAATTATTGAGTAAACCAAAGAAAGAAATAATTTACCTGGACCTTGTAAACAGTTCTTAAAACACACTGTTGTTAAATTATTCAATAGTTAAAAAATAAAAATAAAGGAACCAAGCAGCTCATGGTGATGCATGCCTGTAATGCCAGTGGCTTGGGAGGCTGAGGCAGGAGGATTGCAAATGCAAAGCCACCCTCAGCACTTAGCGAGACTGTAAGCAAACTAGTGAGACTAGTCTCAAAATAAAAATTAAAAAGGGCTGGGGATGTGGCTCATCTGCAACTCCAGGTTCAATCCCTGGTACGGGGAGAGGGGGGAAAAGCCAATTCCGCTCATATCTTCTCAACCTGATGTTCAGGGATACCAACTTAAGATTTTAAAACCAACCACCATGGAACTCTTTTATTATTATTATTTTTATTTTTCTTAGTTGTATATGGACACAATGCCTTTATTTATTTTTATGTGGTGCTGAGGATTGAACTCAGTGCCTCACACATGCTAGACAAGCAGCTCTACCGCTGAGCCACAACCTCACCCCAATCATGGGACTCTTTACACCACAGAAACATGAAAACGCTACAGTCAGACTACCGTTCCTCTCCCACATAATTGGCTGTCTTGTGTACCTGTGTGAAGCCACAATTCTAACACAGGAACTCTTCAGATAACAGAGGAAGCAGAAAGAGTTTGCATTCTGGAGGAATCCCATTTCATTTCCCTCCTTCAGATTAGAATGCCTTCCTGGTTCTGATTTCAGACTGCTAAAATGTGAAGGTTTATTTTCTGTTTGTTTTGTCTTTTCATTGGCTTTTGCTGCCGGATTTCTTCTTAATTTCAACCTCTGTCGCATCTGCAGGAGAGGTTCTGAAACGCTGGGCTGGGGACTCTTTGGAGGATTTGGAGTTACATAGCAAGAGATACCAAATAAACTCATGGTTAAGTATTTTCTGAATGAAGAAAAATTGAGAAGTATAAATAAGATTCAATTGTGTATAAGAGAAGAAATCCTTAACATATCCTATAATTAACATATTCTTAATATATTCTATAATTTTCCCATATATATATATATATATATATATATATATATATATATATGAGGGAGAGAGAAATTCTTATATTCCAAACATATATGAACCATTGACTTGGGTCTATACCCAAATAATTTTCAACCCTGTATGGTTTAGGGCACCATTTGTATTTTCTCACAGACTAAGCATTTTACAGAAGGCAGTATAATTTGGCTATCTTTTTATTTCTTCAGACCCACCTACAGTACTGGCATGTTCTAAGTAGCTTCATATTTCGTCATTGAGTGAGAGGGAAGGGCCCCCACCTGCTTCCTTTTGGATGTAGACAGACTTCCTGAGTTAAATGAATGAAGAAACAGAAATTTGAAGAAAGGAAGTGATTTGGCTTAGAAAAGTGTCTAGGACAGAGTTGAGACTCAGTAGACACATAGCTGACGAAGCTGAAGGTCCCAGGTCACAGAGAAGGTAGCAGTAACAGAAGTCCCTTGAAACAGTAGTAATCTGTCCTTTTTTTCTTTTCTCTCCCCTTCCCTCTTTCCCTTCTCTTTACATCTCCTCCCCTTCCCTTCCCTTTTCCTTCCCTCCCTTCCCTTTCCTCTACAGTGATCAACACAGCATCAGACCATTTCTCTACGAAATGTGACAATGAGGAAGTCTCTTCCACCCTCTCTGGCATAGAAATGGGATATAATGCCCTAGAAGAGCAGACTCTACTAACAGATCTTCGGTAATTCAGCTCAGGGCTCTCTAACTCTGCCATTAAGAGAAGATGATACAATGTAGGAAGTTCAAAGGCAAGACAACTTCCTTTTCTTTTCCTCCATATCTCAGAGCCATCCCGTACCAAGTATTTATCGCCGGCTCCTGTCCATAGCACTCTCAGAAGGTATTTATGTGGTTATAAACTGACCACAGAATGGTGCAACTTAAAATCAGGATGCTTTTATGTGACGCTGCAAATAAAAGACAGAACTCAAAGTTTATGTCTTTCTTGGCTCCTTGCAGCTGGGATAAGTTTCTCAGCTCTAATCTCACACAAGGTCTCTGTGGCTGTGCATGAATCTATCAAGATGGAAAAATTAAGTCCCCTTGAATCACTGCAGCTTTCTGGTGTGGCTCAGCTTGGTGGTGTAGAATTAAAATCATGCTCACTGCTTACACAGTATCGCAGATACTCAGCAAACCAGTGTGACTTGATTTCTAATCTCCATACCTATATTCGTATAGGAAATACCTTTTTATTTCTCTTCACTTTTTCTCCTAAGAGCAAAACCTTTGGATCTCATTTGTTTTAAAACTGACTAACTGCTTCATGGGATCTTTCAAGAAAGAATAAAACCCAATGAAGACCAGCAAGGTCTATTTAGAAGGCGCCATTTTCTTCTCATGCCACACTTTGGGAGTCTTGGCCAATTGGGAATCCAGGAAGCCTGTCAAATTTATTTAATTAAAGTGAAAAGAAAGAAAATCTCCTTTAACATTCCGAATCAACAGGAGTCTAATGAGTCATGTTGGATCCTGGAGTTGAGACACAGTAGGGCATTTTCTGAGCTAATTTGCTTCATTAATATTCAAAGGATGTAGATTACCAGAATTTTCTAGGAGACTTCAGGGCCAAAAAACCGTCAACAAGAAAGTTTTATTTTGCATGTGATGTTAAACAGATGTTCCACATCGAACCAACTGTAGCATTTAATATAAAATGTTGTCAATTAGAATAATTACCTTATTTCTTGCCTCAATTCCACTTTGAAAATGGGCCTGTTACTTTCACCCCTAAGGTTACTCCTCTTCTCTAATTTTTAGACTTGACATTGATGCTACCAAGGCCACCTTGGCTGGCTCTGTACCCATAGAAATAATTTGGGCTTCGCAACACGTCAACCTGGGTTCAAATCCGGATCTATAATCTTCTAGGTAACATTTTTTAAGTGTCAATACAGTTAGTTTCTGTTATCATCAGTATTTAATAAACATTAATTGAGCCCCTCTTTGCCAGGTAGTACTCTGGGCACTAGAGGAATGGAAGAATAGAGGCACTATGAACCTCAGTTTTCTTATCTGAAAATGGGGGTCCTAAATTCTTCATAGGGTTGGGGTATTAACAAAATGAGAGAGGATATAGAAGATGCAAGGGACACAACAGAACTTCAATAAATGATGGTTTTATCTCCTCCAAGCAGGGTGATCTGCATATCTACAATCACATTCAGGCATCAAATTGCAAAGTTATGATATGGGACATGGAATTCCAAGATTGAAAGGAAGATTTAAAAGGCCAATCTGTGGAGTGCAGTTAAATGGAAACAGTGAGAATATATTTCAAAATTCTTTGTTACTTATGTGATCTAACACACAACTTGCAAGTCAAGTTCTATGAATCCACATTGACATTTTTTTAAAAAAATATTCTTTTAATTGCAGATGGACCTTTATTTTATTTATTTTTATATGGTGCTGAGAATAGAACCCAGTGCTTCACACATGCTAGGCAAGCGCTCTCCCACTGAGCCACAACCTCAGCCCCCCACATTAACTCTTTAAGCAAAAATCATTACACTATCTTAAATATAGTATGCAAAAATTTTATGAATATGAATCAGTAGAGTGGACCATTTATTTTCCCAATAACAACAGTCTCTACACAATTCAAATTCATTTATTTCATTCCTATTACATCCTATTCTGTATGCACGTACACAAATACACACAGAATCTACTGTGTTTAAATGCAGTTCTAGACACCAGAAATATTTAGCAAATAAGACCAAGTCCCCACCGTCATGGACCTTATATTCTATGTGAAAAACAGATTATGAGCAAAAGACAATCAAATGGCATACAGTGGATGATAAGGGGAAAAAAATGGAAAACTTCCATTATCTCAAATGTTCTTGTTTCTTTTTTTCTTTTGGAGTACTAGGGATAGAACCCAGAAACTTGCATGTGCAAAGCATGCGCTCTGTCACTGAGTTACACCCACAGATTTCCATGGTATGTTTTGAAGAAACTAGAAGATGATTAAGAAAAGTAATAAAAACTAAAATAATCTGATGGAAGACAGGAATATGCAGCTCAATTTCTGAAGAGATGGTAAAGGAAGATTACTCTGAGAAGGTGCTCAGTACAGAAAAGAAAAAAGTTAAAGAGCTAGCCTTAAACTGAGGGTAAGAACATGCCAGAAAAAAAGGAAATAGCAACTTCTGTGATCTCAAAGTTGAAGCAAGATTTGACTCTTTGAGGCAGAATAAGAGAGTGCAGCCAGAGGCAAGGAAGAGGAGAGAGAGGGTGGAGGTTGTGGGAGATAAGGGCCAATTCCAGTTGCCTTGATAAATATTTCAGACTTTATTCAAAATTTAATGAAGTGACAGCTAGTACCGAATAGTGGTCCCAGTAATTCCTCCTCTCCATGTTCATGTTTGTTATTCCTTGAATTTGGAGACGGAAGTTATTTTAGTCAGACTTTTCTAGAAGAACAGAATCAACAGGATATGCATATATGTGGAATTATAACATATTCAGAATTATAACACATAATGGCCTAGACTGGAGAGCTGGGAAAACCAGCAGCTGCTCAATCCAAGAAGCTGCAGCCTCAGAGCAAGAAAGACCAATGATGCAGCCCCAGTCCAAAGTTGAAGGTCTGGAAGCTTCTGGAGAGTCACTGGTGAGAGTCCATATTGAAAGATCGAAAAGACTGGAGTCTGATGTCAAAGGACAATGGCAGCAGTAATAGCAGCACCTGCTCAAAAAGAACCAAGCTAGCAGGCACCCTGGCTTTCTTCTTCTTCCACGTTTTTTTTCCCATCCAGGTCTGCAGCCTATTGGATGGTGCTGCTCACATTTGCAGAGGTTCTCAACCAAGGTTTGCGATCTTATATGCCAGTGACTTTGGAAACACACCTGCAGATGCACCCAGAAATGTATTAATCCTGCATGTTTTGCAGACATCTCTCAATCCAATCAAGTCAGCAATCCAGATTGGCCACCACAGAAGTATTTCTAATCCTCTTGAATCTGGACTGGCTATGTGAAAACTTGGATGAACAGAATACACTAAAATAACATTCTGGCACTTCAAATTCAGTAGTCAAGAGGATTGGCAGATTTTGCTTCTTCTTTTTTGAGCACTGGGGAACCTCTCTCTCAGAACAGAGCTGCCACATCTCATGGAGAAGCTGCATAAAGAATTGAGACAGCCTGGTCAAGGGTCCCCCAGAACCTCTGGTTGACAACAACATCAACTGCCAGCCATGGAAAGGTTCCATGTTGAACATCCCAGGCCATGTGGGTCCTCAGATGACCACGGTCATCTGGAGCAGAAAAACCACACAGACAATGCACAGAAAAATGAAAGATAAATAGCATGGTGTTGTTTTAACTTATGAAATTATGAGGGTCATTTGTTACACAACAATAGATAACAAAACAGATGAGCAGCCATTAGATATGATCTCCACTGTAGTATTTAACTAACTTTCATACTATTCCTAAGAGGCAGGCTTAATTATGATCTGTATCTTACAGTTAAAGAAACAAAAGTTAAATGGGACTTGCCAAAAATCACCCAGCAGGTAAGAGATAGGATTTGACCTTAGATGTTGTATGCTGAGAGTTCTTTCTTGATGAGTATAGCTGAACACTGATCCATCCAAATGGACCCAGCTAAATTTCATGGACATGATGGCTAATTCCAGATGCTCCATTAATGAATCAGACTGTGATGTACCTGGGCTGTGCCTATTAAAGAATCTGAAAGTTAAATTTAAAGCCAGAATTCTTCTACCATCTGCATCAGACTATTTAATATCCAGACTAAAAACACTCCAGGGATGTGAATGTATGAGATAACGGAAGACTTAATGTCTACCAGAATGCTTTGAGGCTGTGAGGAAAAAAAAAATTCATGAATTAGCCTCTGCTTATTTTGAAATTCAAAAGACTCAATATTAGTCATCTAGGTTTGGGACTTCCATCATGATCAGAGACTTTCTTATATGAAAATGTGTGAAGTTATTCCCCAGGAGAGATGCAATACTTGTAAAATCAAAAGGTATGAAAAGTAACTATATTTAGATTGTTAGGTTAAGAAATCAACATTCAATTTACTTACTAAGTGAGTAAGCTGAGGGCATTTTTCTTCTGTCCGATGCGCAGGAAAACATACAAAAATACAAATGCATTTTCTACCATGTGAACGCAGCTTGGGGGCTTTGAAGTTACTCCTTCCTCCCAGTAAAGCATGGGGAAACTTATGTCAGGTGGCAAATTGCCCAACAACATGGTAAACCTCAATAAATCCTTGGAAGAAAATTTTTGTCTTCTAAGATTTGGTTTCTTGATCTGTACATTGAAGATGTTGCCTAAGAAGGTAAATACATACCTTTCCCACCTTCAACTGCAGGAAACACATTTCGCCATGATATTTTCCCACTGATCCAGACTCCACCTTATACCCTTTTCCAAAACTGTGTCCTGGGAGATTCTACTGGTTACTTAACAGCTGGCCCTGGAGAAGAAACTATTTATCCTCTGATACACAAATGTATACTGTCCTTCAAGTTCTGATATATACACTCCCTATGGTCCCAAATTCATGGAAATCTTTAGAATTGTCCAGATTCCTCTTAAAGTACTGTCACTATTACAAAATAAAAATGCCTTTGCCATCAACAACTGCACCAAGCTACCCACCATGGACTGAGCTGGTGATTAATTACTTCAGGATCAATTATCACTTCATTCTTCACCAAAGTGTTTATAGTTAGTTCATATATTTAAGAGGTAGAAGGCACTTAAGCTCTTTTAAATGACGAAGTGAGCAGAAGCATCTCTCCGTTAAAACTGTCTCCATAATTTATCAGTCATAACAAGTCATATTTTTATCTAGACTTCTGAGTCATCCCACCATATCCTGAACAGGTAAAAATTGGTACCAAGAGAGGTGGAGGAGGGAGAGAATGCTAGTAAATAACAGCATTTATTTTTTGCAAAGTACAGTACATGGCTTCTAGACCAGAGAATGAGTGAGTCTGTTCTCAGGGAGCCCACTGTGGTCTGGGGAAATGCAGCAGAGTCCCAACAGGATAAACACAAACATGAGGAATCACTGTACTAAATATTAAATATGGAGTAGAATATGTTTTAAATGTATAAAGAAAGGGGACTTGGACTAAATCTTAAAGACATTTCTACAGCACCATGTGGGTATCAGACACTTATGGAGAAGTCAGACATAAAGTGCACTTAGTCAAGAGAAGCAGAAGACATCAAAGTCAAGGGATTAGCATAACTAAGATAGGGTAGCTGCTTATGATAAACTATAGAACACTGGCCTGCAGCGAGGGGTCCTAGACATGAGAAGGGACTGATTCTCTTCCCATCCTCTCTTCCCAAGCAATATTACCCATACTTCAATTACGCCTCCAAGCCAAAGGTTCCCATTTGTGACTTAAATGCCACTCCAACAAACTTTTACACATTCCTTATACAACCACTGGATGCCTCCCTTGGAATATCCCACTGAGCCCTCAAAGTTGTACAAAACTCCTCTCCTCAACCTCCTCTTTTTGTTGGGGAGAGAGGGTAGCCAGGAATTGAACTCAGGAGCATTTGACCACTGAACCACATCCCCAACACTATTTTGTATTTTATTTAAAGACAGGGTCTCACTGAGTTGCTTAATGTCTCACTTTTGCTGAGGCTGGCTTTGAAATTGTGATCT